TTTCGCGTATCAGGTTAAAATGTACTGTAGTTTAATGGTGTTGCATCAATGGTCAGTGGTACTACTCTCACATAATCTCTTTGATAAGATATTGTACTTATTGCTTGACTTGAGATTGATTGTGGGATATTTAGAAATGCATGATGAGACCATTCAGGGTCCCAAACGTAGTCTGACTGTTCTGTGATGGCAGTATCATCATTTGGATTTTGAGGTCTGAAATTTTTTCTTGCTTGTGAAATTAAGTCTATATTATGTGTGAAATAATCTATTATAAAACATGCCAAAATTTTTTGTAGGTTATGTTTTGTGTGTTGTGAAACTTCGTCTTTAGTGAAATTTTCTTTGATTATATGTACAAAAAAGTTGAAAATAATGTGATTTCTTGTCGTACTTTTGTATGTTTGGATGTTTCAGTTGGTGAGATACTTTGAAATTCTGTTTTTTCTAATATTGAAATATAGCTATATATTATTGCAAAAACTTCGTTCGTAAATATGGAGTTTGCTCTTTGTGAGGTATGATATTGTATGCTTTTAATATAATCTAAGAGTACTTTTGAAAATTCTAATTCAAGATCGTCTCTTTGAATTACATATTTGCGGTGATTCGGGTTTGGGGTGCTGAAATCTATGGTGTAGATTCCGTATTGTTGTGTTAAATTACATATATCTTTCAGATAATGTTCAATAATTTGTCTTTTGATTTTTACATCTGGGAATTCTGCTTTGCATGGGCTGATTCCGGGTTCAAACAAATTTAGGAGTAAATTCTTGCAAAAGTCATGCTGCCCTCTATTATCGGGTGCATCTATGAGGAAGGCGTAAACCTCTTCGTCATCTGGACTATCGTCACTTTGAGTATGGCTGTGGCTCATTTATTCGTTTAATGACTGTTAATATATAACTATCGATGTGTCTAATTGGTTGATTCCAATTATACAAGTGTACTGCTTTGTGTTTATATTGCTTTTTTATTCTTCTTTTTCCTCTTTTTGATGAATTTGAAGTTGTTTCTGAGTCGGAAAAATATAATTGATCGTGAATGGGACAATTTTTATCAATCGATTCTTTTAATTTATAGAGTTCATCTAAATTGCTGCCTTCTGATTCTGAAAATGCGTTTCTATTTTTTGAAATTCTTTTTCGTGTGATTTGTCTTTGTTTGTTTATTGTTTTTCGTTTTATTGTTAGTCGTTTTGTTCTGATATATCCAACTGTTTGTGTATGAGGTGTGATTACAAGATCGTATTTTTTGTTATCTATTTCGCAGTTGTGTAAAACGATTGTTTGTTTATTTCCTAGATTTTTGAATGACATAAGGTTTAGGATGAGGGATGCAAAAAGTTGTTAGATGATGTCTACTTTCTTAAACTGTTAGTCCTTACGATTTTTCTGTTAGCTTAACCTGGGTCTATTTGTTCAGGGTTGGAGAGAAAATCATATCGATTCCGAAGAATGATTTTTTACTTTCTCGTGGCTAGTATAAGCTAAGGTGTTAACTTACTTAATCTTACTTAGGGGTAGTGATTGTGTTCAAGGGTTGGAGAATAGTAAATCGATCCATTGAAATTGCAAAAAAAATAAGTTGTCAATAAAATCACATTCAGATTCTGATTTCTTATGGATTGATTTTATTTCACCTGGCCCAATTTAAGGAATAGTATTGAATTGATAAAAGTCTTTAAGCATTTTTGCACGTTTTGGGCAGCTTCGTTTTTTAAAAATACTTTCTAAACAGACGAACAATCATGAAAAATGTTGAACACATTTAGTACAATACGTTAACAAATTTCACCAATCAGAATCAAACAACTATTGTTGCTTAAAAACATAAATCAATATTTTTAAATACTCTCTTCGAAATATGCAGACGACAAAATTCTTTCCTGTGAAGATAGAAACATCAAAAGTGCACTAAAAGAACTTGAAACAAATTGCATTTTTAGAGAAACCTACCTCAATCTATTGCAAAAAACAGAGCTTATTATCATCAATAGAAAACATAGAAGAAAAGTTCAAAAAAATAACATACGTCCCATTTGACCAGAATGCCGCCAAAATTGAGGTGACGAAACGAATTTTAGTTTGAGAGGTTTGGTCGTACAAAATGCCGATTCTGACGATTAACGTCCTTTTTTGCAAAAATCAACAAACTGAGAAGGGTTAGTTTGGTCTGACATGCTTATTTTTATAAATTCGTTCGAAAAGAAAGACACATAAAAATTTTGTTTTTCGCGACCACTGAAAGACTAAAACAAGAAAAATTATAGGCATTTAGACGCCACAGATCGGTGGAAGTCACCTCCTATACTTACATCTAGAAAAACAGACCGTTAATCACAAATCCTATAAAACAGATCACTTAGCAATTTTTTTTTGTAAACTAACTTAGTGCATGTGGAACCAAAACTCCATTTAAGCCCGAAATATGTAATACAAAATACTCACAAGAGTTATTCAAATTGAATCTGTCCAAAACTAGGTCGGAACAATGTTACCAGCAAAGTAACCCAGCAGCAATGCTCAATTTTTTCAGTCAAAGTACCACTAAAAACATCCAAAAACATATTAAAAAACCAACAAATTGATGCATTAAATTCAAAACCATAACAGAAAAGCAAAAAAATCTTCGAACTATTTTTTTCTCAAACATTCCTTTGGAGAAATGATAACAAATAGCTTCAAAATGGTGAATCTCGCTTCTAAAAATTTTCAAGACAAGAATGTTTCTATGTAAAAGACAATAAAAACTGTCTCACTGTAGACGCATATCATAACAAACCTACTATCAAAACTCTATTCTGATTCAGATATATTACTTCTGTAGGGAGTAAAAATTACATTTTCTACCATAAAGCCAAAAATTTGCAAGCTACATCTGACATTCCATCAAGGGGACTTAAAGGATGGTTAAAATGAATTCTATACCCAACTTATTTTTCATTTCAATTAAAACTTTAATAACATTTTTTCCACAGAAGCTAGAAAAGCAATTGACAACCCCAATTTAGAAAAAAAGATAGCTCTGAAGTATCTGAAAACTACAGACTAATCTCAATTACAGAAGCACCATCAAAATTATTTCAAAAACTTCATTCTGCACAAAGGTATTTAGAAAAAAGATTGATACAACAATTATGTCTCGTGCTCTTCATTAGATCCCTCGTAAGCATTTGATTCTTTTGAGCAAAATCATTGAAAAAAATTTCTGAAACCGCAGAAGTCTTTAAAATTCCTGGATTTCTTTCACAAGCGAACGACAACAGAAAAAAGAGTTGGATGACACTGAATCGAACTGGATCTCACTTCACCAAATATCATACAAGTCACTGTTTTAGGATTTCTCATTTTCAATCTGTAGGCCAATGGTCGTAACAAGCAACTGGCTAACTCGAGCAAAGTAGTACAGTATGCAGACAACAAAATTCTTTTCTGTGAAGGTTGAAACATCAGAAATTCACTAAAATGAAATTGCACAAAGACTAAACTTCTTTTTTGCGGAAATGAACAAATTGAGAAGGATTAGTTTGGACTGACACGCTTATTTTTATAAATTCGTTCGAAAAGAAAGACACATAACATTTTTTCACAACCACTGAAAGACCGCGAAAGGCGGAACAATGATTTTCGAAGTTCAGAACAATACAAAGAAAGAGCTGAGAAAACAAAGGTAGAAAACCGAATGATATTAAAAGTCAAGAAGAAGAGGCTCCGGACTGTAACGGTTGTACAATTAAAATCGACACCGAGCAAATCCCGTGAACCAGTAATGCTAACTGAGGAAAATGCAATCTTTCCCGATTTTGAAGAAGACGCATCTTCACGCTGACTTGAGAAACAGGAGGGGTATAGAAGAGTGACTGAAAAGTGTATCTTAGCATGTTTTTAGCTTTTCGGTATGGCCTGAATTTAGTTTATAACATCAGACTCACTTTTAGATCATGAGAAGCTAGGAGTTAAAAGAAAAGGTCGAACCATCTCCGATGGATAGGATGATTTTCTCTACTGAAAAAAAATTAGAAATTAAATATTGAACAGGAACAATAAAAATTAAATATGAGGCAATTAACTAAAGCTTTTTTCAAAAGTGGTAATATCCCCAAAGGTGGGAGGAGAGCTAAATTCTGAATCTCCCGAAAGCCAAGGGATAGGCCCTACATTGTGGTAACTATTGAGGAATGAAACTCACAATTCAAGTGGTGGAGCTATTAGAATGAATACTCGATCCCATCTTTCGGAGGATGGAGCTTATAGACCAAATGCAATTTGGCTCTGTACCTGGAAGAGGTACCACTGAAGCCATATTCACCGTTCGACAGCTACAAAAAAAACACATTGCTGCTAACATGCCTCTTCTCTGTGCCTTCGTGGATCTCGAGGCAAGTACTGTGGTGGGCCCTTAGAAGTCTCGATGTCGAAGAATAGGCAAGGCGCGTCCTTTAGGGTATGTGCTGTAATGCCTGGAACCGAGTTCGATTAAATGGTCAGTACAGCGAAAAATTCAAATTGAGTGTCGTTGTACACCAGAACTATGTTCTAAGTCAACTTCTCTTCATACACGTTTTTGAGGCCATCTCAGAGCGATTCAATCAACGTAAAAGCGTGCCTTTTCAGCTCCTCTATGCGGATGACTTATCTATAATAGCAGATACATTTGATGAAAGCATCGCTACACATGGAGAGTAAAGGTAACCGGAGCAGTTAACAATCGTACATGTGTTACGGAGTAGTTCCCGAGAATTCGTAGGGGTATCGGGAGGATTTTACTGCCCTTCCAGAGCGACAACAAGACCGCTCTTCGACTGGATTCAAGAATCCGTGAGGATCTCGGGAAGAGACTGAGAACTCAATTTTAACAACTTTAAGCTTCCTGGTATGTCCTGAATTAGTTTAATGAACATCTAATACCTTTTTCAGAATATGAGATGCTAGGAGTTGAGGGAAAGAGTTGATCCATCTCCGATGGATATGATGATTTTTATCTACTGAACAAAAACAATAATAGTATGATAATTAAGTAGTAGCCCTGTTTTTAGGAGTGACTTCGTGGTCTGGGGATACTGAAACCCAAATTAGTAATGACTTTGTCGACCCGATGTTAAGGAACCACACATAGAACTGGCTTTAGTAGAGACGGTTAAAAGCATGTGAAGCTGTGTTTAGACGCTAGCCAGTCGTTTCATAACATAGCTTTATTTCCCGTCGGTAGGTGTTTCCGGATAAATGTTCAAATGCCTGGTGCTGCCCTTCACATCTGATGGGTCAGGGACAGCACCATAATCAAAAATGGGATATGATGATGATAATTTGCCACAACTAGGGTGAGATGGTCATATCATATTACTCATTTTTAATTAAACAACTAATCTGATTTTTTTCTCTACACTTTACTGAATAACATCGATGCGAAAACTTTCCCTCAGTAATTGACTTGTTCTTTCTTTTTCTAAGAGACATATGATAGTTTTTCGAGTAATGTTAAATACGGTTTCGCTGCGCTTATAAGTCAATGAGCAGAACGGTCTGAGTGAAGAAAAACCGACAAATAATCATTTATACGGGCTGATCGATAGACAAATTATTAGTGTTTTTTTTTGCTCTTGGGCTCTTTCTGCTCTGAGATCAGTCTGCTTTTTACTTCGCCTCCCTAGATAACATGTTTCAAGTGCCATCAATATCCGAAATTGAAGATGAAGAAAATGCGGTTGTCTCTGCTTTTGCAAGCAGACATAAACAAAGCGGTCAAAGCAAATCTGAAGCAAGAAGTGTTGATGCAGACAGTTCTGATGGATCACACGTTAGAGCGTCAAACTTTAGCGGGCGCAGTGAAATGACTTCGTCTGAAAATGCTTTGTCAATTGATTATAAACAGATTGTAAATGCAGCGCCCGTCGTCTCTGAAAAGTTAAAAAAGGCAATTGCGGCGTCTAATGCGCAAAATGATGATTCGATTTCTGCACCCTCAAAAGATTTATTTAATATAAGAGAAAACAACGAGTCTAAAGTGGGAAATACATTGGCTCAACCGCCTATAACAAGAAATTACTCAGGATCAACAATTTATGCGATAAATCGCCAAAAAGGCAATCCTATTCTGAAACATATACGAAATGTGCCAATTGAATTTGTGTGCGATATCGCACCTGATTATATTCTGAGTGAAATTACTTGTGCTTTGTTTTTGTCTCTGAGATATCATCATTTGAATCCGAATTACATATATGATAGAATAAGGAAAGTTGGCTCTGCTTTTAAACTCCGATTACTTTTACTTGAAATTGATGTTATTGATCCTAGTCAGAGCTTAGCTGAGCTGAACAAAGCATGCTTTCACGCCGATTTTACTCTTCTACTCGCCTTTTCCTCTCAAGAAGCTGGAAGATATCTCGAGACTTACAAAGTGTATCAATTCAAGCCTGTTGATTTACTGAGGGCAAATATTGAAACCGATCCAACTAGTCGAGCGATTGACTTTCTCACAACAATTAAAGTAAGATTTCTATCAATTGGACTATGTTCCGACTTCTCTCGAAAAAGGGGCAGAAACTATGGCATTTGGATAAGGTCCCTTTAAATAAAGTTTGCAGTCAGTTTTGTCGATTGCAAGAAAGCTCGCAGAGAGTCAAGTGTGGTATTATATTAAAGCTGTAGTAATTGTCATTCCGGTTTTGAAAAGTCAGTTTTCCTGAAACTGACTGATTATCCTTGAAATAAGCAAGGGTATTGCAATTGGGTGCTAGATTTTTTTCCCTTAAATAAGTTTAGCCACAGAAAGGTCATTTCTGTAGGAATGGCAAATTTTAGACATGCTCAATTTCATGAAAGTTCAAATAAAACTACCTTCATTTAGGTAGTAAATAGGTGTAGGCCGTTTCCGGTTATAGTTTGTTTCCAAATAATTTTCCTGGAAAAGTGTTGATTTTTTTCGTTTCGTGGTTTTTGGCCTAGTTTCCGTCGGTTCATTTCCTTTTTTAAACTGAAATTTGTTTTTTATTTGGTACTGTTTTGTTCGGCAATTTTCTCAACTATGGATTTGTTTTGGTTTTTTACCCTTGTTAACCAAATTTCAGCTTATATTTTATGGCTTAATGAATTTATATTGCGTTGTTTTGAGGGCTAAATTTCCTGTTCGGCAAAATCAGGTGTTATTACACTAGTTAGAGCAAGTGTCTTGAAATCGAGAACAAGATTTTTTCCAGTAAACAACTTTTCTTACACGTTTCAAGTTTTCTTCAACTTGCTTTTTTATTGAACCTTTACAACCTCCAGGTTCCTTCCCCTTTTGCCTAGATTTAACAACGTCGTATTTGTAACCTAAGGTCTGGGATTTGACTTTTGGCCTAGCCTTATTTTTTCAGTAAGTATGCAATTAAAAAATAAATTCGTTAAAAATTGAATGGTTGGACTGCCGTTATTCTGCTAAAATTTTGTCGGCTTAGTTGCCACATCACAAATCTTGTTTTTCCTGTAAGCAACTTTTAATGCAAATGTTGTTCTTTATACGTTCAGGGTGGTGGACTTAGCAAGTTCATTGGTTTTTCTGCTCAACAGGTGTCTGCTCAAAGATAGTCGGCTTAGTTGCCATATCACTGATTTTGTTCTTGTGCTGTAAGCAACTTCCGTTGTCGTTGAAAGTGCAAGTGTTGTTCATTCTAGTCTTATGTGGGAGTTGAAACTAAAGATTTTTTTGTGAAATCATTTTTTTCTGCTCAACTTGTGTCTGCTGAAAGATTGACGGCTTCATTTCCTCTTCGTAAGTTTTGTTCCGTTGCTAATTTAATTTTCCAATTTCTGGCAGGTTAGCTTAGAGTGAACTTCTATCGGGTTAAACTAAAATTTAATTTTAGGTAGAATTAGTTTTCAACGTTTTCCATTTTTTCGACTGATGTTTTTTTTCTATGTTTGTTTAATGAGTTCCAATTCCTCAGAATAAAACAAGCAATAATTTCAGCTAATTTCAAGGTACAAGCGTGATAGAGGGGTCCCTCTAAAAACCAAGCGTGGCAGCGGGGTTCCACGTCAGACTAGTTCTTAGCAAAAGCAGCAATTAGGTAAATCAATGAATAGCTTGCTCAGAACAGCTGAGTTTTTGCTAGCTGATTGTTTAATGGAGACGGGCTTGATAGTTGGTATAACTGAGTCCCGCCTTTTAACCTTTGACCTTTTATCATGGGGGAGAGATTTCATCTATTTTGCCGCAGCCGGTCCCACTTTAAGGAGGCGGATGATACTGCGACCCCTCCAACCATGACCGAAACGGGATTCGAAACCACGACCTTTGTATTAAATGCCGAGCGTCTTACCCACTCGGCCATGGCTGCTCAAAACTGGCTTTTCGAAATAATCTTTTCGCTTTTGCCATGCAAACCATTTATTGAACGCCACGGCCTTTTCGGGACGGTCAGTTTACCTCGAAAAAATTACTTGAAGAAAAGAGGAGGAAGTTAAAAAAAAAAAAAAACAGCCCTGTTAGAGGTGCAAAGGCTTTATGATTAATGAATATTCTATTCTAGATTCATAGCAAACTAACAGAACTTGAAATTCTCAACCCATGGTGATATGCTCCAGGGTACACTATGGATTTGAAATTCTCTCTACCAATTATTACTGCTAAATCCTATGGTTTTCGAAAAATGGCGTTTTTGATTAATTTGTTGATTTTTTCTTAAAAAATTTTAGATTTGAAACAAATTAAAGTAACTTAAAACTTTAAACCCCATGAAGGGATGCTTTCAGGGTACACCGAGGGTTTGCAAATAAGAACTCTAATTAGGAATGATCATAATCTTTTAACAATCAAGACAGGGTGTTTTTATTTTTTCATTTTTGCTTTTTGAAAAGTTTAGATTTTGAAAAACTAACAGAACTTTAAACGCAGAACTTTAAACTTCAGGGTACACTATGGGGTTACATTTGTGCTCACTATCTATGGCTGCTCAAATCCTTTTGGTGTTTGATTTTCTCTTTTTTTTTTCAGTAAACTTAGATTCGAAAAAAAACACTAACAGAACATGAGAGTCTCAGCCCTATGAAGAAGTGCTCTCAAGGTTATCTCAGGGATTGCAAATATGGGTTCCAAATCTGACTGATAAAACCTTTCAAAAACCGGTATGTTGCGTATTTGATCTTTCTTCTATTTTATTTTAAAAACAGTTTCAACTTGAAATTTTCAACCATACTTTGTGGTGCTGTCAGGAAACTTCTCGGGATTACAAATTTGGCTTTTATATTTATTGTCGAGTTTCCTAAATATGTTACTTTTAAATATTTTTGAAAAACTTTCAGTAATTTTAAGAGTGTTTTAAAATAGAAATCCGATTGATATTAGAAATTTGCAGTTTTTAAAAAATATGGAAAGAGAAATTCTGTTCATTTCATAAAAATAGAAAATCCTGATGGGTGGGCCTAGTTTATTTTTTCGGTTGCCTTAAATGTCGCTGTTTTTTTGTGTAATTTTTAGGAAGCTACTTTTACGTTCAACAATCTATTTGAAGCAACTGAGGTGCGAGTCATGCGTTAGTTACTTATTAATTACCTACAAATGAAAAAGGAAATTTACGTCTCAATTGACCTCTTGGCTTTTTTCTTCAGAATTTCCCTTTAGTGGCACATTTGAGTTGGACTCACATTTTGACCAAGTAGTAATTAGATCATTTTGAATATTTTAATTGTTCATGTGTCCAAAATCATCAAATTTGGAGCTGCAGCTCAACATTTAATGCTCTGTAGGACTTTTTTCGCGCACAATGAAGGCAAATTTTATGTGTTGCCTATGAATTTTTAGTGCATTTCAAGGAAATTTATTCAGAGTGACTGATTTGTTTCTACGGGGATCGAATACCGGTGCAGGTTGAAAAAAATGTAAAACACAAGTTTTTTTTTTGTTGAAAGTGATTTTAGCAAACGTTATCAGATTGGATCATTGAACTTTTTTCCGGTTCACAAGTAGTTTAACAGAACCATTGAATCAGTGAAGTTCAGAGAAATTCTGAAAAATGGTCCCTGGGTAATTTCAACTTATTGTTTCGTAAATGTGGTTTTCTATAATTCCTTTTTGCAAGATTCACACGTATTCATGAAAATGCATTAAACTGATCATCTAGAATTTAGAAATTGATTTTTCCCGTGCTTCTTTAAAGCTCAGATTCGTCTCTGTCAATGAATTATTTTGATAACTTTCAAGGATTTACTGTTTTTCGCTTGTGCTCAAAGTTCAGCTTTGTCTCTGCTATTATACCATTGTTTTTTGGCACGCTTCACTGTTATAGAATTTTGGAAAAATATAATTTGATTCAGTGTGTTGTAACCGGGAACTAGACGTTTTTCCAGTAACAAAACAGATCTTACAACTTACAGTCTATGTCTTACTTCACTCAGCTCTGGCATACTCAATTTGATGAAATTTTTTTTTATTATCCGTTTTTTATCAAAAAGTGACAATTGTCAATTATTTTTGAAATTCAAAGTGCCTTAAGGCAATATATTGCTTACTTTGAAATTCGAAAGTTGAATTTCTCCAAAAATGGGCATTTTTCTATTTCTTTGCCTTCATTGACTCTTTTCCAACTGTATTTTGACTATATTTAACTATTGGCTTTGATTATATAGACCCAGCAAATTAAAAATATTTATTGGTACTTTTATATCTCACAAAATCAAAACTTCTTAGTTTTTCTTTGTATCGTGAGTAATGTGAATCTCTACATCGCTGTTTGTAAAGTTTATTTCTGATTTAATGGGAATTTTTATAAGTTTTTTCTGATGCGTAGCTGGTTGGCTAATTTTTTTCTGGGCGTTCCTTTTTGAGCGATGGCTTCTTTTTAGTCCGTCAGTAAAAGAGATGCAGAAACTTTGCTGCTGAAATTTGACACAGTTGCTAATATTTGTGCGGCATCCGAGGCACAACTGAAGCAGTGCTCGGGACTAGGAGATACGAAGGCAAAGAAGATACACTCTGCGTTGCATCAGCCGTTTCTGAAGAAAAATTCAAGAAAGAAGAATGAAGCAGAAATAACCGACGGCAAAGTTGTTGAAAGTTTAGACGAAGGTGTAAATGGCTAGTGGCTACATTTGAAAACCAAATTTTCATTACTGAATCGCTAATATATGTATAGATTAATTATACTGTTACTGATTATCCGGCTTAAAAGTTCTAGCTTGCATTGTTGCTTTTAGGTTTATTGTCTGCTTTTCAGATTTAGTTGTACAAATGCTATTTTAACAAATTTCAACTACAGCTTCAGTCCTAAAAGAGACGATAAACAATCCAGCAACTGGAGTTTCATTCGAAATAATGGCTCCCCCTCATCAAAATTCATCATATTCTACACACGTACCAATTAGCTCCGAAGTGCTGAACGATCTATGCAGTCGATTTATAGTGAACCACGATGCAGCGTCGAAAGGAACTGCTGGGTCGACCAAGTTGTGCTACCAGTTGGAGCTGGCCTACTGGTTCTACATTGACTTCGAGCGCACAGACAACCCCAGCCTCCCCTCAGTGTCATTCTCCGAGTTCTCCTTCCAAGTATTATCTCACGTAGCCTCTCTCAAACACCTCGCCAATAATGTAAGTACGAATTTGCACAATACTCTTGTGCCGTTAACTCGTATTTTTTTCAGATGATTTTTCTGCCTTCAAATTTTTTTCATTTGAAGCTCAGTTGCTGATAGGAAAGCAAATTACGCTCTCCAAAAGGGTACAAACGGCGTGAAAAAACTTCGTTTCGAAAAAGGATTTTAATTTTAGTTTTCACCTCGAGCGGTATAAAAAACTATATCCATTGACCCAGTTTTCTCTAATTGGCGTTAGTTATACAAAAAATGACAATCATATATTCTTGAAATTTTAAGAGCTACAGGGTGATAAACTTTTCCGTTGAATTCAAAAGTTGATAGAAAATCAATTATATTTTTCAGCTTCCCTGAGTTCATTAAAACTTCCAATGGTCTGTTGGCTTCTTATCAAATAATAGTACTAGTCTTTTACAGTAAAGATTATGACGACCCTAATGTGTCGGGTTTTGTGTTTTTCGGGGGTTATAATAGGAAAATTTGAGATATCGGCAAGATCACTTCTATTTGAAGTCATCCTAAGTGTACTAACTGTAAATTGTTTTCGAAACGAATATATCATTTATTATTACTATTCTGGAGGCGCGAAAGAGTCAGGATTCCCATTCGGTTTCGCTTCCGCTCGTTACCAGTTGCAAAATCACTGTTCATGTTTTAGCAGGTATTGAAGTCAAGTAGACAAATTAGACATTTTAGGGCGTAGATCTTAAGGTAAATTATTTCCCCAGCCAAACGCGACGTAGATTTGTCCTTGCCATTGGCATCTGCATGATTGAATGTCAGCGCAGCACCCTTATCATCTATTTGAAATTAGAGAATGTATGCTTAGAACGATGATGAGCATCTCTTTTTTTCTAGGATGTTTTGTTATATTTTGCCGTTTGTTTTGTCAGGTGGATGTGTTGATGAAGGAATGGCGGCAGTTCAAATCCCAAGTACCTACTTATGGCTGCATCATTCTCGACACCAGCTGCAAGTTCTGTCTGCTAGTGCATGGATTCTCCAGCAGCAACTCGTGGAGTTTTCCCAAGGGCAAAGTGAACGAAGGGGAGACACCCCAACAGTGTGCACTCAGAGAGGTCAGTTTTTTCGTAGGCAGGGCGGCTAAATGGTTTCTTGAAAAAGCAAAAGTAGTTTTTGCTCGCTTTCTGGTAGCTTGTCATCTTGAAGTTACTTTTTTCACCTTTGCCGTCTAAACGGCTCCTTATTTGGTACTACTTTTGTAACACTCATTTTTTGAGGATTGAATCTTGAAACTTTCTAAAGGCGCTTTCCAAAATTTTCTTTAAAAAGAGAAAATCTTTATACCTCTCCATGCATCAATTTTTCTTTAAAACAGCTGACGAAGTACATCAAAACATGTTTGAAATGAGACTCAGTGAGGCAGACATCGGGATTTTTGTCAGTCAATACTGCAGTCTGACAAACAGTGCATGTAGATATACGAGGAATAATTCTTTAGAAAATTAATTCACTATGAAGAAAAACATTTGCGAAAACTTCTATCTATGACTTTTTCAACCAGTTTGTTCAATGCAAGAAATTGTCAGAATCAGCTTAACAATTTAGAATTGAGTGTGTCCTTAACACCTACTAGAAGTTAATCCGATTTGTGAAAAATCTTAACGGTTATTGCTCCTCTGAAATTTGTCATTTGAAAAAATTATTATGAATCAATATAATAGTGCTGATTTAAATTATCCGGCTAAAACGAACAAAACTCGCAGCTTCATACGCGTTTTTCCCAAATTGGTTTTAGATCAGACAAAAAGTGAACAGAACAAAATTTGATCAGAATTTCACCAGAAATAATGTGATGCATTTTGTTTTGCAAAATTCTTATCAATTATTTTGGTAGTCTCAGCGTAATTCTTGATTAAATCAAAAAACCCAAACTGACCCATTTGGGTTTTATTTAATCAAGAATTAAGCTGAAACACCAAAATAATTGAAGGGAAGCTATATCAAAAGAAGCCTCTTACACAGGTCAACAAAGTTCTAGAAGGATGAAAATCACCAAGAATCTGTAAAAGAGAATATGTTTTTGCTTTATAATAAAATTTCGTTTTAAGAGTCGATGAACGTAGTTCAACTCTTTTAAAGGTCGCGATGATTTTTTGTTTTTTTTTCCAGGAAAAGTCCTAAAGTTTATTCAGATTCTAATTTACTTCTTCGAGGTTTGAATTTTGATTTCTTTTCAAGTTCAGCTCGTTTTTTTTAAAGCAAACTCCCTGATCGAACAGCAAAAAAAAGTTAAGTTCACGAAAAACGTGATCGACTTCTGATTTCGAAAGTGCAGATTAATTTTCAGATTTCACAGCGAAATATAATTTTCTTTTTTTGATCCACTTTTCTCAAATTGGTCAATTTTATCAAAAAAGTGCCAATCTCAAAGTGTTCTAGAAAGTCAAAGTGCATCTATTTTTTTCGAAAGTTGAGTCTTTTCAAAAGAAACAAGACATCGTTTTTTGTTTGCTTAGGTTTATTGACTCTTTTCCAGCTGTCTGACGGCTAATATTACTAATTAATTTCTTTGCTTAATAATAAATTTCCAAGATTTTGTGCGAACTTTGGAGATTTTGTGTTCTTCTAAAACTTTTTGGGCTATGTGAGAGGCTTTTTTAATATCACGGTTTAATCAGTTAAGTTGCGCATTACGCAAAATAACTTGCACCATGATAGTTTTGGTGAAATTCTAAGCATTTTTTGTTTCACTTTTTGCCTTGTCTTAACCCGGTTTGAGAGAAACCAGTATAAATTATTCAATATTTTTTGTTTTGGTCGATTAATTTAAATCAGCACTGCAAGAACATGAACCTTCCATTCATAAATGGTTAATTATTTCGGGGTACTGGACTTGAAGACGACGTGAAATCAATTCGAATTGCAAAAATAGAGACTTAAAATATAAATTAGGAACAGAAAGAAAAAGATGGACTCAATATATGTTAATTGTTGTTGTTTTTTTTTTTTGCATATTTCATGCTATACAGCCTTATTTATGAAACAATTTGAGCGACAATGCATCTCATTCATGAAGGAACTCTTTGTTTTCAGAGGCCCGTCCATCATAATTGTACCGCTGATTAGTTCGATGATATAAAAAACTCCTGGTCAGCTTTAAATAATGAACAACTGCTGTTATTGTCCAAATTTTTGTAACCGTCATCAAGAACTAAATTATATGCATTTTGCAACACGTTCATTTGCCTGGAAATTTAAAAGTTCGACCTGGTCTTTCGGATTGAATTCCCGTCGGCCTGTTGTCAGTCGCATTTTGTGTTGTTTTTGCAAAATCAAACAAAGATCTTGATGCCATAAAGCGCAGTATTCAACCACGGATTCGATATAAATAGTGGACTTGCTGAAGTTTAAGAGTTCGATGTGTGAGGAGCATTTTAAGAAGTGGACTTGTTTATGCTTTAGGTGGAGGAGGAGGTTGGGATAGACTTCTCTGACAAAATTCGAGGCGACCACTACATCGACAAAGAACTGAGCGGGAGGAAAACGAGACTCTACTTTGTTACAGATGTGCCCTTCAAGACCCAATTCAGTCCCAAGTGTCGTGGCGAGATCAGAGACATCCGCTGGTTCCCTATCGACAGTCTGCCCAGGTACAAATCAGACCTCACTTGTGTACATGTACTTGGGATGCAATCAGTCCAATTCTTCATGGTAATTCCGTTCGTAGAAGATATTCTGATGTGGGTGAAAAAGTGGACCTCGGGCAAAATGTCTCCCCGAACTAATCATAATCATGTATACTCAACTACGCATTCGCCACACCATCCAAGTTCAAACACCCCCGAAAGGTTCTACGATAATCTTAGAGATAATCGAGCAAAACAGAGAAAAAATGCGCGAGAAAACCCACCGTCGGCGAATGGATCGCCTTCTTTGCCTGACCAAACTAAACGACGATCAGTTTCGAATTCAGACCCTTTCTACGAGAACGTGAAATCCAAGCCAGCTTCTACTGTTGGTAGTATAATTGCAACGTCAGCTAAGAAACATATCAGTCATTCTAAAGTGCCCGAAGACGGAGAGCCCACATACTCAAATACTTCGCAATTTCAGCCCATTAAAGAAAAAAGTGCACCGTCTTTCTTCGAACACCATTCGAAAACTTTGACTGACTTCAAGGTTGATTTGAAGCGGGTAATGATGGCATGGGATGGCTGGCCTTGAAACGATAGTGATGAATTTCTCCCAATAACAGCAAAGTAATAATTCTTTGGTGCTATTAATAGCTGCTATTCGAGTTCACATTTTCACATATTTTTCCGCAATTTGAATGGAAAGAGGCGGAACTTTTCATGCTTCATTGCTGTTTCAGCAAGGTGCATAATCAGGGGGTTATTGCCTCTACATTCTTAAGGCCTAAAAAGCTAAAAGTTGGTTTGATATTTGGTTCACCCCGTTGCAAAACCTTAGATTATCACACACCAGAATGCTGGTTGTGCGATATGAGGAATTCGACAACTTGATGACACTAAGTGTTTCTTATCACTCTTTCATGACATCCCTTTTGGCTGATCTACTTGAAAGTTTTTTTAAAGGTGAATTGACTGCCAATAAATGCTGATTTTTATGGGGGAACACGTTTTGTTACGGGAACTACATTGCTCGTAATTTGCTCCCATTTATGAAGTAGATCTGAGTTAATAATGGGCACTCGTTTTCTTGATTGAAACTTTTCACAGGAGGATATTATGCCTTGCGACGTGTTGCTAATCATTCTGAAGAGCGCAAGTAATAAACATATTTGACAAGTAATTACACTTGGGAGCTTTAGCGAGCGTTGTGTAATAATACGATTATTCTTTATTCCCCAATATAAGTCGCAAATATTGGTTCCGCTTTTGGAGCACCTTTGCAGTATTTGGTAGCATGTGCTTTGACACGGCAAGTGATAAGTTAGCACAGTTGATGCATTTTTGATTCATCAATTGAACCGAAAAAAAGCTGTTTGCTTCAAACGACAGTGCAATAATAAAAACTTGACATTTAATAAGTAATAAGTTAACGCATTTGATGCATCAAATGAACCGAGAAAAAAGCTGTTAGCTTTAAACAGTGCAATAATAAAAATTTCCTACTATATCTGACAATTTTTCTGAAACGCACAATTTATTCATAATTTGGCAGCATGCTTTCCAATTTATTACATGAAAAAGTAGTGTGGACGCCTTCAGTTTTGTATACTCCCAATTTTTGCGTGCAAATTTTTTGTCTATTCACATCTGTCCCACTTTTTTTGCATAGCATTGGCAATTTTTTAGCATATATAGCTGCTTTATTTTTGGCTAGTGTTATAAATTGTTAAGGGCTCGTCGCGCAGATGCGAGAACAGGGGACTCTAAATCTCTTGCTGAAACGATCGAATCCTCTGCAGCAAAATATTTTTTTCCTGAGTTTTTTTTTACTTTTTTATTTATTACTTTCTTTACATTTTTAGAGCTTCTTTTTTGTCGTTTTTCGCTGATTTTTTAAAGCGCAGCTTCTCTGTAAAAGCAATACGACTCTTAAATTTTGAGAAAACCGACGTTAGGACTCAATAAAACAAAAGAACTCCTTAGGAATTTGATAAGAGTAATGAACGTAGTGAAGACTCTTATATAGGTCTTGCTGATTTTTTCTCAAGAAAAGTCTTAAAAGTGTCAATTAACTACAGATGCGCATTCATACATATTAATGCACTTATGAATGCACTTTCATTTATTAAAGCAGTTTTTAAGTTCAATTGAAATTCATCTGTTGAAAGTGATGTAAATAGCACTGAAGTAGATCTGAGTTAATAATGGGCACTCGTTTTCTTGATTGAAACTTTTCACAGGAGGATATTATGCCTTGCGACGTGTTGCTAATCATTCTGAAGAGCGCAAGTAATAAACATATTTGACAAGTAATTACACTTGGGCGCTTTAGCGAGCGCTGTGTAATAATACGATTATTCTTTATTCCCCAATCTAAGTCGCAAATATTGGTTCCGCTTTTGGAGCACCCTTGCAGTATTTGGTAGCATTTGACACGACAAATGATAAGTTAGCACAGTTGATGCATTTTTGATTCATCAATTGAACCGAAAAAAAGCTGTTTGCTTCAAACGACAGTGCAATAATAAAAACTTGACTTTAAATTTGACATTCAGTAAGTAATAAGTTAACACATTTGATGCATCAAATGAACCGACAAAAAAGCTGTTAGCTTTAAACAGTGCAATAATAAAATTTTCCTACTATATCTGACAATTTTTCTGAAACGCACAATTTATTCATAATTTGGCAGCATGCTTTCCAATTTATTACATGGAAAACTAGTGTGGACGCCTTCAGTTTTGTATACTCCAATCTATTGTGTGCAAAATTTTTGTCTATTCACATCTGTCCCACTTTTGTTGCATAGCATTGGGAATTTTTTAGCATATTTAGCTGCTTTATGTTTGGCTAGTGTTACAAATTGTTAGGGGCTCGTCGCGCAGATGCGAGAACAGGGGACTCTATTTTCTCTAGTTGGGTTCATCTTATCGAAAAAGCGCCAATCATAAATTGTTCTAGAAATTCAAAGAGCTTAAAAGACATCTGTTGTTTCTTTGAAATTCGAAAGTGAGATTTTTTCAACAAAGTCAGTGTTTTTTTTGTTTACTTGCGTTCATTACTGTTTGCGTTCAGAGCCCCCGCTAGAACAGTAATACCGTTCTCGCAAATTGTCTCAAACATACCGGGACGATTGAAGTGCTCCGTGAATGTTAAACCCTTGTCAATTCACAACAGGCGCGGTAAAGAATTAACTAGGGGACACTGATAGAACTGTTATTGCTTGTTTGCTGTTGTTGGCTATCGCTTGTTTTCTGTTGATCTTGCAATTACGGCCGAGCTCGAGCTGTTTTGTTGCATTTGACTAATAATGAGATCATCGTTTTTTTTTTGTTTTTTAAAGGAGACATTGTGTCATTCAGAGCTTACTGGTCTGTTCAGAAGTCAAAGTCATTGATATAAGCGATTAGATAATATTGCTTCATGTGTTCTAGTGCGTACCGGGAAAAGAGAAACCTTTTTTTAGATCCATTGAGCTTCAGAAAACCACTGAAGTCATTGTTATGATACCCAAGACTAGATTTTGCTTGTTTTATAGACATTTGAGTTATTAATACTCAGGGTTTGAATGTTGAAAACTTTTTTCAAAATTTGTGAGCCGTTGTTTACCCTTGCGATAAGCAAGACTATTGCAATCGGGTTCTAGACTTTTTCCCCTAAACAACTTTGTTCATAGGACTCATTTTATATCTCCTGGACTCCTTCATCATTCATCTACTGACATGATCAATTTCTTCAAAATTAGAAGAATAAAACTACTATAGTTTAATTGGTAATTAGGTAAAGCCCGTTTCAGGTAACAATTATTTTTTCAAAAATTTTCGCAATGTTTTCTCGGTTTTGTGGTTTTCGTTCTATTTTCTGTCGGTTCATTTTCCGTTTTTTAAGCGCCTTATTTTAGTGATAGGGTTTTTGTTGGCTTACCTTCTAGAGCGTGTGCTTTTTTTCCAGTTTAAGCAGTGTTTTACTACAATTGACAGTTCAGTAATTTATAAATTTACCAAGTCTGATATTGGGTTATTTTCATTTTTTGTTCGTTTCTTAAATATTTAAATAGTTTCAGTTCATGTTCTATCGGCTCAGTCAACTTTTATTGCATAATTTCGAGGGCAAGTATATTCGCATGCGAGTATGTGTTTCAGATTGGATGGGTCGTAAAAATTTTCAAAACCCAATGAAGTTTTTTTATGAAACAGTTTTTTTTTGTTTTCGGCTCAAACATTCGACCAAAAAATTGTTGACGCTCGGAATTGATTTTCAGTTGTTTTTAGGCTGCTTGTGAACGTCTTTCTATGCAACCATGAAATTTTTGTAGCTGTTTTTTTCAAGTTATTTTTTGTTTTGTTTCAAGTAATTTTTTCAACTTATTTCTAGCTCCGCTTCGCCTCTGTGTAAGATATTTGGTTCAAAAGGTACCTTGCTTGAAAGCTTTTTTGACGCATTTTTTTTGAACTCCCATTTTTGTACAATGTGGTATACAGTTTAGTCATTTAAAAACAATGCACCTCGCCTCTCTAATTTTCAGGTAGAATTGGAATAGTTGGTAAAATTGCGCGTAAGTGAATTATAACAGTGAGCTCTATTGGCAATTCCTGCTTTTAACCACCTGTTAATTGTCCAATAACTGTTATACAAATTTTCTTGATCTATATTATATAACTAAATTTTTGTGAAATTTGTTTCTGTACTGCTTCACTTTGTTAACTTTATGCTTTGCTCTGATTTAAATATGATACATATGTAACCTGTGTTCTCCAAATTTGAAACTTTATTGAATCCAATTGAGTAGTTTTGCAAGTTTATGTTTTAAAAATTCAGCTTGTTCCATCTAAGTTAGATGCCAATGCATGGATCAAACCGCATTCATGCAAAATGGACGATAACGAATCAGCCTATTTAAAATTTGCGAATAGTTTGGACAATTAGCCCAAACTCTCAATCGTCGTTTCTTTGTCTATTGTCTAAAAATCCAAATTCATGTTGTAATATGTGAACTAAGTTGAACCTAGAAAACAAGTCTGTTAAATTATTAAAACAGAAAGTACTCTCTTTTCAGGGGTTGCAGGAATTTTTTGAGCCAAATTCGAAAAAAGGCGAAAAATATTTCGGTCAATTGTGAAACAAGACATGCTAAGCCTTTTCACTCCTAATTTTTTTGAGACGAAATGACTATGCAGAATGAGCTTATAAAATGCGATAATGGGAAATTTGTAGGAGACGTAAAGAGGTTGTCTTTGATACATCAGCTGCATCTTGTTGGCTAGTACCTAATTTTTAATGAGGCTTGAAAAAGTCCATAACTTGGACATGTTGGAATTTTCTGTTCGATCACTATCGAACTAGCAAGCGTAGTGTATCAGTACTAACTCGCAAATTAAAGTTCTCATTTGGATCCTTTTTGCTGTAATTACAATCTGTAGCGATGGAAGTAGCATAGCATCTGTTCTCTGCTTTATTTCTGCTTAGTATTTGCCGATCGTTAAGTGTTCGTGGCTGGGAGGGAAAGACGTGAGACTTCAAATCTCGAGGTCGCATGATCGACTCCGACACATAGCAAACTTTTTGCACAGCTAATCTTCTTGTGCAATAACATAATTTTGTTGGAAATTTTTATTTTTGTTAATGAAAATAGTCGGTATTTTAGGTCGTGGCTTATGCCTCAATTGTTGTCGACTTGGTTGGCGGCTCTTGGATGTTCAACGGTTCGATCTCAATCAGCTTACAAGCGTTTTCCACCAATTGAGTAATCCATAAGCATTGGACAGTGTCTTATAGAGAACGAGTATCATTTTGCTATTTCCCTTAAAAAACGTTTGATTAAATCTCTCGTTGACGCCGAGCTGATCCTCTAGCAGAATTAGTAAATCATTTCGTAAATTACTTTCTAGCAGAATCAATGTAAATCAACTGTTTGTACACTTTTAGATGTTGGTATTGGTTGGGATATAGATTTTGCGAAAGCCAATGTGTGAATCGCCCAATTAGATTTGAATTCCGTCGCTTTCAAAATGAAAGTCATTCATTTCTATTTTTAGATATTGGTATTGGTTGTTTTTATAAATCTTTAGATGGATATTGATTTGTGATAATTAAAGAGAATCACGGGGATGGTTAGCAGCTTGATTGGTGGTTGGTTTTTTGTATAGCTGCCAGTGAAATGTTTTTTACCTTCAGGAAGTACACTATTTTAAGCTTTCAGTGGTAAAACGAAATTCACAAGCTTTCAGTGGTAAAAAAAATTGAGCGTGGACTCTTTTTTGTCTTTTTGATGTTATGTGTTTTTGTTGGTTCTTGGTTGTTGTGGCGCTCTAGTTGTTGATGTGTTCGATTGAAGGGTTTGTGTAACATTCGCCCGGAAGATACATATCGACGGATAACAAAACTAAGTCTTAAGACGACTGGCTAGCGTCTAAACAGAGCTTTGCATGCTTTTCACCGTCTCTACCAAGCCAGTACTTTTCGGTGGTCTTTCCAACATCGGGTCGACAAAAACGTTACTGTTCTCCGGCTTCGACCAGAACGCTCAAATTAACTTAATTACATGCAAATAGTGAGCTCATGGCTGGGTCTCAGTATCCCCAGACCACGAGGTCACTCCTAAGAACAGGGCTACTACTTATTATATTACTATTGTTTTTGTTCAGTAGATAAAAATCATCATCTCCATCGAAGATGGATCAACCCTTTCCCCCAACTCCTAGCACCTCATCCTTGTCAAAACTAATCCGAATATCAATTAAATTCAAGTCAGGACATGACAGGATGCTAAAAGTTCACACGAGTCAATAAAAGTTTTCCGTCCCGAGACCCTTCCGGATTCTTGAATCCGGTGAATCAAGCCCGTTGATTTCGATTTCTTCCCAATCCGGAAGGCTGATTTCTTACCCTTCACCGTTGTTCGCAACGGCCTTGCAACTATTGTAGCAGCACAATAGTTGCAACTCGGAACGTTTTCTGCAATCTGCTGCTGTTTTTCTTATCACGATTGTCGTTGCTATCGTCAGCGCAACTAATGTTGTTGTGTTTCTTCTCTCGTTTCTTGTTAAAATGGCCGTTTCAGCATTTCTCAGAAATGTGACGTCATCATTCGAATTTTTGAAAGTTTAAAATACTAGAATATTCCAGCCCTCACCGTTTGGCTAAACGTTCCAATAACGCCCTTAGTTCTTAAAAACCACCAATCCGGAAGGCTTACTGCTAAAATTCCGAATTCTGCAGAGATTGCATTTTGGCCATTCTGGTCGAATGTCACATTGTTGAGATGAAGATGGGTTGGATTTGGTGAAAGAACAATGTTGACTGTAAAAACACCTGGATCTTTTCGAATACTTGCGCCTTGAGGTGCACGGTGTTGAACCAATCCTTTGAGGTGGCACCATCTGTGCTCTCGTGTTTCCTAATTAACAGGAGGGGCAGATGCAGATCAGAGTACCCCGGTTGCTTTCTATGCCAGTTGTGATTAGCAGAGGTTCCTTAAATGTGCCAGATCCTGTGGGAACAAAGTGACTGGCTCAATTCGATCTTATTGTAAAAACTCGAGCTAGCGCAGCATCTGATGACATCTGCAGAGATTTTACGATTTTTGGATCACGTAACATGTACATTATGTGAGCACCGCCACAGAAGCAATCTTACTGCGGTGATCTAGTTTTTCTAATGTTTCCTGCGACTGAGCAGATTTTCACACTTGAATTAAAAAAAAACAATAGAGTGACAATAGTTTTTTTATTTATCTTTTGAATGTCAATTATCTGTTCGAAGTTGAATTTCAATCTCAACTTTTCCTGACTGATTGTTCTGTCTAGTTTTAGGTGGTTTTGTTCCTGTTTAATATTTGGCACATGAGACGTCTTTTTGATTGGCACGTAGTTAGTTCGCCTCATTGAGCTATATATTTTTTGATTGGACTTCCAAAGTTTTCCAACTAACTTTTCCTGACTGATTGTTCTGTCTAGTTTTAGGTGGTTTTGTTCATGTTTAATATGTGGCACATGAGACGTCTTTTTGATTGGCATGTAGTTAGTTCGCCTCATTGAGCTATATATTTTTTTCGATTGGACTTCCAAAGTTTTCCAACTAACTTTTCGTGACTGATTCTTCTGTCTAGTTTTAGGTGGTTTTGTTCCGGTATAATCTTTAGAGCATCAGACGTCTTTTTGATTGGCATGTAGTTAGTTGTCCTCATTGAGCTATATTTTTTTTCGATTGGACTTCCAAAGTTTTCCAACTAACTTTTCCTGACTGATTGTTCTGTCTAGTTTTAAGTGGTTTTGTTTCTGTTTAATATTTGGCAAATCAGACGTCTTTTTGATTGGCATGTAGTTAGTTCGCCTCATTGAGCTATACATTTTTTTCGATTGGACCTCCAAAGTTTTCCAACTAACTTTTCCTGACTGATTGTTCTGTCTTATTTGTGATGGTTTTGTTCCTGTTTAATATGTGGCACATGAGACGTCTTTTTTATTGGCATGTAGTTAGTTCGCCTCATTGAGCAATATATTTTTTAATTGGACTTCCTGACTCATTGTTCTGTCTAGTTTTAAGTGGTTTTGTTCCTGTTTAATATTTGGAAAATCAGACGTCTTTTTGATTGGCATGTAGTTAGTTCGCCTCATTGAGCTATATATTTTTTTCGATTGGACTTCCAAAGTTTTCCAACTAACTTTTCCTGACTGATTGTTCTGTCTAATTTTAGGTGGTTTTGTTCCTGTTTAATATGTGGCACATGAGACGTCTTTTTTATTGGCATGTAGTTAGTTCGCCTCATTGAGCTATATTTTTTTTGATTGGACTTCTTAAGTTTTCCAACTAACTTTTCCTGACTGATTGTTCTGTCTAGTTTTAGGTGGTTTTGTTCATGTTTAATATGTGGAGCATCAGACGTCTTTTTGATTGGGATGTAGTTAGTTCGCCTCATTGAGCTATATTTTTTTCGATTGGACTTCCAAAGTTTTCCAACTAACTTTTCCTGACTGATTGTTCAGTCTAGTTTTAAGTGGTTTTGTTCCTGTTTAATATTTGGCAAATCAGACGCCTTTTTGATTGGCATGTAGTTAGTTCGCCTCATTGAGCTATATATTTTTTTTCGATTGGACTTCCAAATTTTTCCAACTAACTTTTCGTGACTGATTCTTCTGTCTAGTTTTAGGTGGTTTTGTTCCGGTGTAATCTTTGGAGCATCAGACGTCTTTTTGATTGGCATGTAGTTAGTTCGCCTCATTGAGCTATATTTTTTTTCGATTTGACTTCCAAAGTTTTCCAACTAACTTTTCCTGACTGTTTGTTCTGTCTAGTTTTAAGTGGTTTTGTTCCTGTTTAATATTTGGCAAATCAGACGTCTTTGTGATTGGCATGTAGTTAGTTCGCCTCATTGAGCTATATTTTTTTTCGATTGGACTTCCAAAGTTTTCCAACTAACTTTTCCTGACTGTTTGTTCTGTCTAGTTTTAAGTGGTCTTGTTCCTGTTTATTATTTGGCAAATCAGACGTCTTTTTGATTGGCATGTAGTTAGTTCGCCTCATTGAGCTATATATTTTTTTCGATTGGACTTCCAAAGTTTTCCAACTAACTTATCGTGACTGATTGTTCTGTCTAGTTTTAAGTGGTTTTGTTCCTGTTAAATTTTTGGCAAATCAGACGTCTTTTTGATTGGCATGTAGTTAGTTCGCCCCTGTGAGCTATATTTTTTTCGATTGGACTTACAAAGTTTTCCAACTAACCTTTCCTGACTGATTGTTCAGTCTAGTTTTAGGTGGTTTTGTTCCGGTGTAATCTTTAGAGCATCAGACGTCTTTTTGATTGGCATGTAGTTAGTTCGCCTCATTGAGCTATATATTTTTTTCGATTGGACTTCCAAAGTTTTCCAACTAACTATTACTGACTGATTGTTCTGTCTAATTTTAGGTGGTTTTGTTCCTGATTAATATGTGGCACATGACACGTCTTTTTTATTGGCATGTAGTTAGTTCGCCTCATTGAGCTATATTTTTTTTGATTGGACTTCCTAAGTTTTCCAACTAACTTTTCCTGACTGATTGTTCTGTCTAGTTTTAGGTGGTTTTGTTCCGGTGAAATCTTTGGAGCATCAGACGTCTTTTTGGTTGGGATGTAGTTTGCTCGCCTCATTGAGCTATATTTTTTTTCGATTGGACTTCCAAAGTTTTCCAACTAACTTTTCCTGACTGATTGTTCAGTCTAGTTTTAAGTGGTTTTGTTCCTGTTTAATTTTTGGCAAATCAGACGCCTTTTTGATTGGCATGTAGTTAGTTCGCCTCATTGAGCTATATATTTTTTTTTCGATTGGACTTCCAAAGTTTTCCAACTAACTTTTCGTGACTGAGTCTTCTGTCTAGTTTTAGGTGGTTTTGTTCCGGTGTAATCTTTGGAGCATCAGACGTCTTTTTGATTGGCATGTAGTTAGTTCGCCTCATTGAGCTATATTTTTTTTCGATTGGACTTCCAAAGTTTTCCAACTAACTTTTCCTGACTGTTTGTTCTGTCTAGTTTTAAGTGGTTTTGTTCCTGTTTAATATTTGGCAAATCAGACGTTTTTTTGATTGGCATGTAGTTAGTTCGCCTCATTGAGCTATATATTTTTTTCGATTGGACTTCCAAAGTTTTCCAACTAACTTTTCGTGACTGATTGTTCTGTCTAGTTTTAAGTGGTTTTGTTCCTGTTAAGTTTTTGGCAAATCAGACGTCTTTTTGATTGGCATGTAATTAGTTCGCCCCTGTGAGCTATAATTTTTCGATTGGACTTCCAAAGTTTTCCAACTAACTTTTCCTGACTGAATATTCAGTCTAGTTTTAGGTGGTTTTGTTCCGGTGTAATCTTTGGAGCATCAGACGTCTTTTTGATTGGCATGTAGTCAGTTCGCCTCATTGAGCTATATTTTTTTTTCGATTGGTTTTCCAAAGTTTTCCAACTAACTTTTCCTGACTGATTGATCTGTCTAGTTTTAAGTGGTTTTGTTCCTGTTTAATATTTGGCAAATCAGACGTCTTTTTGATTGGCATGTAGTTAGTTCGCCTCATTGAGCTATATATTTTTTTCGATTGGACTTCCAAAGTTTTCCAACTAACTTTTCGTGACTGATTGTTTTGTCTAGTTTTAAATGGTTTTGTTCCTGTTTAATATTTGGCAAATCAGACGTCTTTTTGATTGGCATGTAGTTAGTTCGCCTCTGTGAGCTATATTTTTTTTCGATTGGACTTCCAAAGTTTTCCAACTAACTTTTCCTGACTGATTGTTCTGTCTAGTTTTAGGTGGTTTTGTTCCTATTTAATAATTGGCACATCAGACGTCTTTTTGATTGGCATGTAGTTAGTTCGCCTCATTGAGCTTTTTTTGGACTTCCAAAGTTTTCCAAATGAAATTCATCTAAATTTTTAAAATCATCTGTTATTGTTTTTATTCCAAAGAATTTTTCTAATACCATTAAAAAGTTAGTTAAAGTGGTTGCTTGAAAATGCAGTTTCAAAGTTGTCTTTATGCTCTGTTTTTGAATTTTCATTTTATGCTTTTGCTGAATTTTTTGGCGACCCTGGGATTGTTTTGCTAGGTGGGTATTGATTTTATCAGAATGTGCAGTGCTGATATTACAAATTAAAGCAGAAGTGATTGAATTAAAAAATTTTTGGCTGACAAATTTCCCCTCTTTTTTGCATCAAATATGGTATAATTCAGGTTTTCATGTGGAGATCAAGAATGAAAATTTTTTGTGATTGATTATCGCTTTGTAATATATCAATTTTTGTTTTAATGTGTTTTTCATTCATCATAGATTTTTTGCTTACTTAGTGGATGTAACTGATTCGTGTTTCAGGTTTCTAGGAAATTAAAAAGGCCAAAGTTAGTTTGTGATGCTTGTTTACTGATTATGATTTTTTCTGTATCACAAATGTCGCGATGCTTTATGTCGTCTTTTTGGTTAAACTGTTTTCAGTTTGCTTTTTCTTCTTTTTGCTTGCTTGCTTTCTAGAGCTTGGATCACATGTGAGAATTTTAAACCATAATTGAACAGCATATGATTTGAATATGAAACTTTTGAAGACCTTGTTTTTTGAATTTTTTGTCGACTTTGTGGCTTTTATCATTTTATTTCCTATAGCTTGAAATGCTATGTTTTTATGTTGAATTGCAAGAGCTGTGAAGCTACGCTTCGCCTCTCTGCTTACGGCCTCCTTCAATTCCGCGGTCTCCAGTGTTCCGGATATTTTTTTGCAAAAGAAGTCCCTTTTACTTTTTCCACTGCTATTTATGCATTAAAAAACACTGCGCTATTGATTCTATTTTTGTGATGCAATTCTCAGCTTCGCCTCTGTGTTACTAAAAGTGTAATTGCGAAAAATTTTAAATACTATTCTATAATATTTATTACTAGACTAGATTTAGCACTATTTGATGCACGATATACGAGTTTATAAGGCATAGGAGGGATCATAACTCCATTCATCCAGGGGTGGATGTGAGGGGGGGGGGGGGGGGTGGATATCTCAAAATAGTACGGAGGGGTCCCCTTTTGTACTATTTTGAGATATCCATTTCTGCTATTTTTTCAAAGGCGCCAATATTTACAAATTTTCCAAAATGCCTAAAACGCCTATTGTGGCCTGTTTTTTTTTCAAATTTGTGCCTGCGTGCCAATACATAATCTTTTTACTGCTTTGAAGGAGCTTGGAAAATCAATTCGGTCGACCTAAAAAAAAGACAATTTTCGAAAAAAAAATTTGAAAATCCGCCCCCTCCCCCCTCGAGAAAATCCTGGATCCGCCCCTGCATTCAACAGTAAGAGTTGAGCCGACTACTAGTGGAATTTATGTGTGTTTAAGTCTATTTATCTACAAGTTTCAGTGAATAATTGAGTCCTTCATTGTTGTCCCAAAACTCACCCCTTGGGCCCTCAAACCGCAAACAGAACGAACATTTATCCATATCCGCCGAGGTCATGAACTCATTTTGGAATATGAACCGGTCCACCGGTACTGTATGATGAGAAAGGTCATTATGCGTCACACTTGCACTGTAATGTGACTTGATCTCGTGGTACGTGCTCCAATTGTTGAATGAAAATCGCAGCCACACCTCCTTTTCGAAACTCAAGTTGACCACCAGAATTGAACCGCTGACTTGGAATCCGTTGATGGCCAGTGACTCCAGTTGTATATTGTGCTCTGAAGCTTTCTTAACTAGAGCAGCATTGTTGGGAGACAAGAAAAATAGAGGCAGCCAGGTCTTCTCTACTTTTCTAGCCCGATTATTGTTGTCGTAGCTGTTGGAATTATAGTTGAAAAAATAATCAGAAGAGTCCAACGCATCGAAATTGATTTTGGGATTAGGATCGTAAAATTTGATTCTCAGCAATTTAGAACCACATGCATCGGCAAAGCGGACGCTTTTTGCTGTTTTGCGTTTGGTTTTCTGTTGATTAGGTTGGCTAGTCTTGGATTTGTTGGACTCATTGGTTTTGGGTCTTTCAATTATTTTGTCTTTTTGAATATTCTGAAGTGTCGCGTGTTCGGTTTTAGTGTAAGTCGGATTAGCGGTATCTTTTTTGCGGTCTGAATTTAGCTGCAAATTTATAATTTCATCGAGCAAGTCCTGTAGGAAAAATAGACTATCAGACGTTTCACTTCTTGACTTATTTGATAATATGGCATCATCGCTGGAATAGTTTGCGTCTGTAGTTGCGCTTTTCTGAAATGAAAATTTGACATTGAATTGAAATTGGTTTTCACATATCATCAAACCTAATCTAGATGGCAGTAGGCTAACAAGCCGGAGGGCCAACAAGACGAAAAAAAATTATTTACCATCCAAAAATCCGAAAATGAAGATAAACGGTCCTTAAAGGCAGAAAACTTGAAAAAGTGTGTATTGTTGAAAATCGCCGATATGATCTAAATACGTAAGAGAAAGCCAAATAAAAGGTAGGGCGAAAATTCGTAACAGGCGACAGTTCGTAACAGGCGACAATTCGTAACATGCGACAATTCGTAACAAGGCATTGCCTTTCGCTCCCCTGCGCTTACATCCGGCACGAGAGGAATACTGCGCGTGAATCAGTATTCCCCGCCTAATCTACTGTTGCGAATTATCGGTTGTTACGAAATGTCGCCTGTTACGAATTGTCGCCTGTTACGAATTGTCGCCTCACGCAACTAAAATTTTATTCTTGTTTTTTTTTGGTTTCATCAGTGTCAAGAAAAAAGGCCGAAAAATAGTGACTGAAATGGTGCACTCTCATCACAAGACGACGAGCAAGCACTATTTTCGCTATTTCTTTTTTTTCTGTTTATACGTTAATGCTATAATTATACGCTATGCCTTCATACCATCAGTAGGCTGTTCTTAGGTTCCGATTGTGAATTTATGTCTTACCCCCTCTTTGTTGGCCGCTGGTTCATTTTCTTTTTCATCCGTGCTCTTGTCCTCTGTTTCCGCGTCCAGCTTTTGTTTCGCATTCAGCAGCGAGTCAAGTGAAGCCGAAATCGTTTTTGCCAATGAGCCTCTGTCTATTGAACAGAGCTCCTCCCCTATTTTGAACATGCACAGCTCAATCGGAGAACTCAGGGGTCGTTGTCGAGCCCCCTTCCGAACACTGCCACTGCGCCGTCGCACCTGTAAGTTTTTTTTTATCATAAAAATATTGCATTCTTTTTCTGGGTGATGTTTAAATTTAATGCTCATTTATTATTTTCTGTATATTCCTTTCTAAGTTAATCTCTCCCATTTGAATTGTAGCTTATTATGCCCGTCGAGAGTATAGATTTTGATAGTTTTTTTTGGATTACCGGAAAAGTATGCAATCGCTAAATTTCTTTTTAACTAGCAACTAGTAATTAAAAGAATTTTGTTTGTATAGCCTAGATGTGTAGGCTTTTTGTAATCCCAAGAACCTCTCGTCATCTAGTGCCAATTTTATTGCTATTAATTGTAAAATAAAGTCCATATAAGAATTAATCGTATCAACGAGGGCATATATCGGAGCCCCCAAATTGGTAGAAGCATTCCAGTCAAATAGTGAGGCATTAGAAGTGATTGCCTGAAATTATTCATTGCTTACTTGTTGAGTGCATGAGTCGTCGAAAGACCACGAGCTCTGATCGGCTGAGTTGGCATTTGACTCTTCCGTTCGGATCAGCATGTCGTCGACTGTTGAAAAATGAGCTCCAGATTGGGATTGGACATTTTGCCACTGGCCAAACTCCCAGTCGTGCATGCTGTAGCTTCCATGAATAGCCCTGGTAGCCATTTCTTGGAACTCAATTAGGCAGTGTGTGTAAATGATTTAATTGGTTGGTGAATTAAGTGAATTGGTTGAATTAGTTGATCACGGAATTCAATTCCAACTGATTATTGAAAGGTAAAGGTGAAGTCGAATTCACTTCGCAGATTTTGCTCAATTGTTTTCAAATGTTTGAACAAATTGATTTTTTCATGCGATATATGATCAAATGTCTTCTATTAAGCAAATGCATGTGCAGCTACTGCAGATGAATATAAAACTGATGGTATAGTCAATTATGGTATTTGAAGCTACAAAAGTAATATAAAATCAATTTTGTAATATTTAACAGTTCTTATAGAAAGAAGAACGAGAAAGAAGTACTATGAACGTTGGTATGAAACCACAGAAAAATAACAAACTTTTGCGGTTTTTGACTTCTTAATTTTTGAATATCTCAGTAGGACTATGGTGATTGAAAGAAAGAATTGAATGCAAATCAAAAAGCTATCAATTTGAGCGAATATCGACTTCAATTTGATATTTAAAAACGATTATCTGCTGTGAAACGCTATCTTTTCTGTCTGCGTCAATATATTTTTTAAATAAATTTCAAGTCCTTCGGTCAAATAGGTTTCTTTTTCTCGTGGTTTTTGCAGGAACAATGATTTCGTGATCCAACTGAATTTATTCAGGAAAGGTCAATTTTGGTATTAATTTATAATTTGAAGAGATTTTCTGTTTTTACTAATTGAAACCCTTAATCCTTGAGACGTCAATTGAAAAATTAAATATGTCTTGCTGTCAATCAAAGGGCTAGATTGCTAGTCGAGTTTGAGTTTACTTTTGAGGGCGGAATGGTCCGATTTGCAATCTCTCGAAGAGTAGAGGTAAATAAACGGGCTGGATTAAAAGATCGATCGGGATTGGGTTTTCTGCACGTGAGCTGGCTGGTTTGTTGCAGAATTTATTTACAGTTGGTTGTTCAACTCAATCAAAGGTGTAGTTATTAGAATATCTCATTAGGGAGGATTAGTTATCTCTGAACACTAGTTGACCAAACACTGTTCAATGTGTCTTTTCACTCGATAAGGGGGGGGGGGGATAACTTGCACGCAGTCGTACGTGTCATTTGAGCTTCGGACTGTCTGAGAGTGGCGAAAATTAAATAAACTTACCCCTAACGCATTTCATATTTGGAAACTGTTTGAAGGGCGATTGACCAGCGGAGTATTTTTGTATCAACAAGTACATGGAAATTACAACTGGCTAAGTGGTTGATATTTTGATATTGAAGTTGCATTTCTGCCAGCGCATATTGGCCAAATTTGGTAGTATCTGGTCTGGTTTGGATCTCGTGAAGAGAACTCGTTATATACTAATAGCTGCTTATCTTCCAAATGGCGGCCTAAATAGAATAGCAAGAGAGGTAAAGGTGATTAGAAATGGCGCCAGTTGGTTCGCTGAACTGGAAGTGGTAGATCGGATCAGGTCGGGCTAGGGGAACTTATTGGAGAACACACGGAGTTCGCTGAACTGGAAGTGGTAGATCGGATCAGGTCGGGCTAGGGGAACTTATTGGAGAACACACGGAGTAGTTCAATTTGGGTAGTCTAGGAACAAGAATAAGGTTTAACAATGAGGCTAGTGACGTGATAACCCTACCCACCCGTGGATGAAATGGTGATTCTATCTACCCTGTCCTATAATTTAACGCAGCAGAAAATATTCGTTTCGCTCCAACTGGGCGCCGCTTACGATTTGAAAGAATGCTGTGAAAGGTAAAGGTAAAATTCAATACAGGGAAATAAAAAAGGAAAACGCTATTCAGAGAAAAAGAAATAAAAGTACACGCAGATATATTTTACAGCCCAATAGACCGTGCATTTGAGAAATTACCTTTTCAGTTTGATGTAAATTTTTCGGACAATGGTTGCTTTGTTATTTTCCGCATTAGTGAAGTGAACATCCGACATACGGATTTACCACAAAGCGCCATATCTTGAACCCGAAATTACATCAGAGTAGTGTGAATTACAGCTGAATTACGTAATAATTGTATAACAACAGTAACAATCTGTTATCATGTTGCTTCACAAAATTAATTTTTGGCTCGTTGGTCTGATTTTTTTCCATTCCTTGGCCCTTCGGCTTGTTGGCCTTCTACTATCCGATAGGATTAGAGGGAATGGACGCTGATTGGTTGAATGCAAATGCGATTGTAATTTTTTGTGAAGTAACTGTCAAGGAAAGGATTAAATTTGATTAAAACTTCCTGTCGCAGCTCAGACTAAGTTCATTCACTCTAGCTATTCAAGTGACGTAAAAGGACTGCTTTACCCTCAGTAAAATGTTACAGACAAAGAAGAAGTGATTATTTTTGTGGGTACATTGTTTATTAGATTTCAATAAGTCTTTTGTTAAGACTGCTTCAATGCTACGAAGGCTATTGGATAATGAGAAATTTTCCTTGTTTGGTTGCCTTATGCTTTTTTAGTGGGGTGAGCAGGATTGTTTGGACTTTTTTGTACTACTCTTAGCTTTCTAATTCATCGAGATGACTTGGTTGATTCTTTCGATTCAATTCGCAAGACTGAGGCAACCTTTCCCAAAATTATTTTTTCGATTTCCCAGAGGAATAAGCTTTTGATCCTGTTTTCATAAATTGTGTAAATTTGATCAAAAAAGTGTCAATAGTGAGTTGGTCTTGAAGTTCAAAGAACTTTGAGGCCATATATTTTCCCCATTAAAAAAAAACCGTCAGTAGATTTTTTTCGGTTTCCTAGTGTCCATTGACTTCTCCAATTGTTTGTTTGCTACGAATCAAAACGATTTGATGCAGCGCGACTGCAATTTGAACCCGCAATCATGATTGATGGGCACAATCACTACCAATGCACCACAGCGTTGGTCTCATGTTTTCTGTGGGAACAAGTTTCAATTACTTCAGATTGCAATTTTTAGGCTGAAATTGTTTCGAGTTGGTTTGAAGGTTTATTCAGAAAAAAAATTTTTATCATTTTTTTTGTACTCCTTTTCAGGTCTGTCTTTTTTTTCTGAAAAAAAAACAATTAAAAATGAGGCATGTTTTTCTCGGGTTTGTGCATTTTATTGCATGCAATAAGTTGACCTCTAATTAAAAAATATTTTTGAGTTCAAATAAATGTCATTTGATAAAAGGAAGGCAAATAACGCTCTCCACTTAGAAAAAGGAAATGGTGTGAAAAAATGTGAACGTCGTCTAGCTTCGAATGTGGAATTTAGTTATTAGATTTCCCAGCGGAATAATTTTTTTCTTTTTCAACCGGTTTTCTGAAGCTGGGTCAACTTTTCCGTAAAAGTGACAATCATTCTGGAATTTCAAAGATTCTGGAATTTCAAAGAGCTTTGACATTGTAATTTTTCTTCAAAATTCAAAAATTGAAAAAAAATATTCAAAAAATTAGTCGGTATTTTTTTCTTTTCTTGAGGTAGTTGAATCTTTGATTGTCTGTTTGTCTGTTTTTTTGTAAAATTCTCTGGTGGTTTTTCGTATCTAGCTATTTGGGTTTTAATTTTTCGTCTGGGCGTTGGAGAAGCGTATAACAAGTACCTTGTGGAGCGTTATGTTTTTGTAGTTGTTTATCGCGTTTTTGTAAACCAATTTTCATACGCCAAATACGTATTTTTTTATGTCATAGAAAAAACGTTGAAACGTGGCTTGTTATTTTTGAAGTAATTCAAAGAATGCTTTTAGACTATCAAGTGTGGTAATCATTCAAAGCCTATTCAATCGTGATTGTGATTCTTAAAAAATCAAGGGAATTGATCTGAATTTTAATAAAACTACTTGTAAAAATCTCTGTAAATCCTTAAATCATGCATGCTCAAAAATTAATTTTGATAATTTTAACCGTATTTAAACATCTAATTATTTTTTTTGTGGTGAACTTTTTACTTCAATCATTCTTGAGGCTTGATACCCAAGAAAGCAGATGTACCGAATAACAAAATTTTTGGAAAACAAGCAATTAATTTTTTTTGAATTTTAGCATTTATCACATCTGGCGTTGTTATTTTGACTTTTTTGAAATTTTTAAATTCAATGTTTTTTTGCTTGGAAAGTGACCCAATTTTATGAGACTTTGACGAGAACATTAGAGTTAGTTGAAATTTCCTATAGTGGATGACAAAATTTGAGCCAATTTTGTTGCGCATTTGAGCCATTAGTGTTCTTCCATAGGATGGTTGACAGCAAATGTTCTCATTTGGTACAAGTGACAAAAGTTGCTACTTGGTGTTATGATCGGCGGAATTTGCCGTATTTTAGCTTGAATCGTATCAACAATTTGAGGTCTTGGTTTCATTGTTGAAGACTCAAATCCGATTGGTATGTTTACTCCCAGTAGCGTGCAGAAGGGAGGGGATTACGACGGCCCCTCTTCCTTCCTCAATTCTTCCTCTCCTTCTCAATTTTTGTAATTCGGCCGTCCCTTTAGCATAGATTTCTGACAGCCATTTCTAGCTGGTTATCCCTAAAAACGCGGGCCAGAAAAAACGCAATTTTTGGTCGAAGATTTCCAAGAAGTGCTCAAAAATTGCATTTTCAATAAATTTTGCGTACGGCGCAGAAAGTTTTTGCCAATGGTTTGGACAGAGCTCCAAAAAACCGAAAGGATTCACCACAACAAGGTCAACAAAGTTCTTTTTTAAAACCACCCGATGAATTTGATGTCTTTTTGAGAAATAAAAAGAAAATTTGTCCACCTTGCGTTTGCGTATGATTTTTTTTGTGCCTTAAAAGCCTACAAAAGTCTAAGGACTTTTTCGGCAGACTATTGAGAAAATATATTTAACTTCGGCTATTGTGGCTTTTTTAAAAAAAGTGTTGGATTGTAAAATGCATGCAAAGCTAATGGCCAGGGATGGACAGTTAGGGGAGCCGTATGTATCTATGATAAGCCGTTGATACTGTCGCTAAACCACATCGAAAAAGCCTCTGAACGGGATCCAAAAAAGCCGCTGAAAATAACCTCCCCTCCTCTCCCTTACTTTGGATATCTTAGGTGTTGTCAGCGACATTTGCCTTACAAATTTTCGTACCTGTTAGCTTTCAAATTCGTTAAAAAACGCCCCCATCAAAATGCAGTTTAAGTGATATATTTAACATTCTGAAGGTGAAATGGTCTGGCGTGATCAAGATATCAGGTTCGCTTATTCGAGCTGTTATCAGTGTTTATTGACACTCTTAGTCACAACCAACCTAAGTTCGATTGAGGCTGATTAGAACCCTAATTTGTCTTTTTATCATCAATAAGATCACCGAAATTTATTAACTCCCCCTCCTATGGCACATGATACATGGAGTAACACAATACCCCCCTCTTTCTTTGTAGTAATGGATAGGTTAAGCATAGATAAGATCTGATAATAGTGATCTATTGCTGCAAGAGAGTTAAAGGACTCCTATCAAATGCTTAGGATTGGGCGCCTCCATTGAGTATAACCTAAATAACCAATAAAAATTAGTGCAGCTGAACTGTTTGATTGCCAAGTACAAATCTATGGTCCGATGGTCTAAACTACGGCAGGTGTGTCATTCGTATTTAGTTTGGGTCAATATTCCAACCATTTAAGTGAGATAAACCAACTGCATTGTGAGTGAGACCGACAAATTTGTTGCGTTTGAACTATAACTATTTGGCTGTATTTCGATTAACTAAAACTGATTGGTTGTGTTTCGTTCGATTTTGTCAATTACCGATAAGAATTTTCTTCTCAATATCTGACATGATTTGGTTGAAAGTCATATCTCTGATCTCAAAGGTACAGTATCAGTATAAAGAAGTGCAGAATTTCCTTTTTCAATGACTATCACAGATGGCTGTCATTTTCTCTGTTTCCCATTTTGGTAATCAAATATGATTTTTCAGATTATTTGATTGATATCGTCTTATTCGAAATCAGGAACCAACGCAACCTAGAATTCAATTCACAAACAACCCAAGGCAACCTCGATTCCCGAAACAATCAACAACCATTTACACGCCTGCAAAAAGTGTGCCTTAGCTTTTACCAGTCACAGGTAAGGCCAAAATAATCAACAAGCAGTGCGGTTCAGTTCTTTTTAAGAACACATTTCGCTCAAATGCGTGTTATCGAGTCGGAAGACAGACTTATCCAGGCAGGAACTGGTTAAACAGAATCGACTAATACATTTTTAAGCAGAATCGATTAATACAATTTAAAACAATCGACTAATACATTTTTAAACAGAATCGATTAATAGATTTTTAAACAGAATCGACTAAAACATTTTAAAACAAAATCGACTAATATATTTTTAAACAGAATCGATTAATACAATTTGAAACTATTCGGGCTCGACCAGGACATGTACTTTGTTGCAACGCCAGCCAATTTTCTGCATATCAAAGGTTTCAGACGCCGTTTATTTTCTTTTTTTTTGTCGGCAGACTTACCACCTCACGGACTGAATAAAAACTAACTGGCCATTTTTTTCTCAAGCATTGACATTAATGTAGTTAATCGAGTTCCAGGACCATTTGCAGATTTTTATTCTGAAATTTTTTAACCTTGCGTTTTCGTTTTACTTAAACCACGAGTTAAGCGAATACAATTAGCCTTTTTGTTCCAACCGTTGAAAAGGGGGATGAACTTTGGATTTTGGTTGTTTTACTTTTTTCTTTTTTTTCCACAGAAAATCAGGTACTTAAAATAATCATTGCAATGGGTCGAGTGGTATATCATATTAAAGCCCTTTCAACCATGATTCAAACAAAATTTTAAAAAGTTCAAAAAGTTTCCTAGTGTCGAGAAAAATTGGTTTCGAATTTTTTAGGTTCAGTCTAACTTCGATTGAGCAAAGCGAGCGATTCACGTTCGTTATCTAGAAATTTAAGACAAAGAAAACTAAATTTTAGTAAAACGAAAAGAAAACTGTATAGCGCTTTCCAGGCAAAAGTTCAGCTTAATTTAGCGCTACCTTGGCTCATCACACCGCTTACAAGCAACGACGTCAATTTGAATTTTTTTTTTTAGTTTTTCTATGAAAATGGTCGGAGCATTCTGTGCTACTTGCAAGGAATCGGCTATCCTTGTTTTCGTCAAAAATTCTTCAAAAAATCAGCTAGTTTTGTTAAATTTCTTGAGTTAATTGACTTTTTTCCAACGGTCTGTGTTCAAATTTGTGAAGTAATTACCCAATTGCAAACATATTTGGCTTAATCTTAACCTTCTAAAATTAATGGTTTTCATCGATTACAACCGCCGTTTGCTCCATTTACAATTCATAATGCTTAATATGATTAAGACTTTGGCCTGCACATCTTTGTAAAATACAAAAAAAAAACAATTCCTTTGGCACAATCGGAAATGGGTTAAACTTTTGATCATACTTTTCGAAACTTTACCTGAAAATAGGTCGACCAAATTGTTTTTCCGAGCTCTCACAAATCACTGTATAATTTAAATTGGCCTTAAAAATTTTTTAGTGTCAGTCAGTCAAAAATGGATATCTCAAAATAAAACGAAGGTAGACTACCTTTGGGCAGTCAAGGGTTCGAATCCCTGAAAGAGGCGCCCGCCTCCCCCCCCCAATCCGCTACTGATCCCGCCATTAAAGTAGCTCATTTGTCTTAGAGAAGCAATAACCTAACCCAGTATGTCTGAAGCATTCAACAAAGCAGCGGAAGACGTGAAGAACTTCACTAGCAGACCGACAGACCAGGAGCTTCTGGACTTGTACGCACTGTTCAAACAGGCCACAGTCGGAGATGTGAACACTTCCAGGCCAGGCATTATAGACTTCAAAGGTACGCAAGCGCCCAATCTATCTTGCCCCTTTTCACAGTTACATTGTTTGATTTAAAAAAATCATGAACGTAAAATGTATGTACTGATTTTCCGTCCTCTCAACTAGGAGATAAATAACATTTTGTATATTCTGCTCTGTTCTAGAAACATGTGGGCTAGATTTATGAGTTTTTTCAAGTAATTTTTCAAGTAATATTCAAGTAATATTTTTCTAGTAATATTTTTTCAAGTAACATTTTTTAGACTGGATCAGATTGCACTGCAACGAATTCTTTTTCTGATTTCAAAAAGGTGTGTTAACATTCTGGTTATTGGATTATTATTATTTGGCCCGCATTGAAAACTAATTTACATTGAGTATTCATTTAAAATAACCCAAATAAATAACCAGTCAACTAAAAGTCGAGTACTTTTTGAAATCGCTTTGGGTACATGCATGTGATGCTCTTAATCGAGATTTTGACACCACCGATCCGATAGCTCAAAAATTGTGACTTCCTTCCATTTCCGACAAGAGGAATCAAAGAAAAATTTCAACGAGCCTCCCACGGAAGCTTGTGATTCGAAAAAGTACTCAAATTTTAGTTGTCTAGAAGTTGTTGCGTCAGTTGTCAGTTTTTGTTGCAGTCGGTATAGTAACTAGTAATTTGCTGTGTTAGGCAAGGCCAAGTGGGACGCATGGGAGAAAATAAAGGGGATGTCAAAGGAGGATGCCGAGCAGAAGTACATCTCGATGGCAGAAGAGCTCAAGGCCAAGTACGCCTAACCTTTCTCTCATTCTTCTCTGCAAGCCCCGCCCCACCCTCCATGTAAAACCCTGTCATCATCCGCCATCATAGAACAAAACAGACCATACCTATTTTGGTTCAGCATAATCTACACGATCTGAAATGTACTTAAATATTGTAAATAAAGGAGCAAAGTCGATTCAATTCGCGGTTTCTGTGAGTAGTTTGTTCCATCCCTGAAGTCATCACTTGTAGTAATAATGTCATATCAAACCCTTACACAGTGTGATCTTCATCTGCAGTTTAATATCTGGCCTTAGTAATGTATTTTCTAATTTTTCTGTTGTTGAGCTCCACTTTGTTGGAATTGTTTGATGACATGTGACTGATGTAAAAAAAACGTGCTAGTTCGGCGTAACTACGAAGTATCAAGGTTGAATAAATTTTTACAAATTTTAGTTTTTTTATATTCTGAATGCAGCAGAATGAATGGTGCGTGCAGGAGCTTTTTTGACGCGGAAACAGACTTTAAAATTTTTGTCGACTTCTTTAGTTCAGCCATTTTGAGCTTTTTCTAAACCCCAGCTTGGTCATAATTTTGGTCAATTATTCTGCGGCGATTTTGGGCATTTTTAGAGACGGGTTTTGGCAAAAAAATAACATTTTTTGGCACGCGTTCCACTATCAAATTAAATGTATTGGCGACAAAGACGAACTGAGAAAAAGCGATTTGAACTTTGATTTAGTTTTAATAACATTTCAAACCCATTTGCAGTGCGTAAATTTGAAGAAACAATCCAACGACTTAAGCAGATTTGGATAAACAGATGATTAATTGGATGTTGGGGTATCTTATTTTGTCGCAAGAGGGCCAACTCAATTAAAAGAGGCCCTCTAATAAGAGACTATGAACTAAAAAATAAAAGACGCTTTCAGCTATAAACAGCCGCGTCGTCGACGAGATTTGAACAGCTGCCCTCGGATTTGAACAGCTTTCTAATATTCTACCAACCTCTGCATACGGCCTATCTGTCGTTAGCTTCCATAGAGCAAGTTGATACTAATTTGGTGTTTTTTGGTGCGTCCAGAACGTGTGAAAATATGAAAGGGTGCACAATTTTTGAGGAAAGTAAAATTTTGCAGCTGTTCTAATTCTTTGCTCGGAAACTTTGGTGTTCGCGAAAGTTTCTGTGACTGAGTTGCGTCTAAGTCTTTGACCTGACGGACATTTTACCTGCCCGACATATTACCAGACCATCATTACAATGCCAAACTGAGCACTGGACAAGCGCACAAATTGGTGTGTGGAGGTCACTGGAATCCAAAGACAAGTCGTCAAACATGTTCCATAAATTAAGTAGGTTCCTCTTAAAAAATTCCGTGGATTCAGCGCACAAGTACCTGCAACGTATATTTCGTCCGCACATCAATTTTTTTACAATAGATTTCGCAACTAGTGAATATAGCTAATTTCTTATAATAGAAATGTAATTCCGCAAATTTATGCGGATTTTGCAAATTCATGCGGATTCCGCTTACAATTTCACTTTTCCGCTAACAGTTTGCGTAATCAACATACGAATGCGGATACCACGACAATATTATAATATTATAAATAATACATAATATTATTTATTCGTGGATTTCACAAACTTCGGGATTCTGCAAATTTTTTTCCGGATCCCGCAAGTTTTGTTGCGGATTCCGCAAGTTCGCCTTTTTTCGAGCGATTTTGAGCAATAGTTTTAGCTATTTGTTCGTTGTATCCAAAAAAAGCAAAGAAGACCGAAGAAAAGTAGCAATGTTGCGGATTCCACGACAAATCTGGTTTCAGCCTGTTGCGGAATCAGCTTACAATTCACAACATATACATTTTGTCCTCGTAATGATGCTATTAAAAGTAAAAAAGCTGATTTAAGAAACGGCATTCGCTAGTAGCGACTGCTTCCCGCCGTTGCGTTACATTCGGCACAAGAGTTATTTTGCGCGTGAACCAGTGTTTGCCGTAAAACTGTATTGATTGGATAGGAAAAAACCCTGAGACCGTTTTCTGAAGCATCCCAATTAGCGTTACATGCACCAGCTAAATTAAAACTCAACTGAATGTGCAACGGAACCAAACGAAAAAAAAATGATAGCAAAATAGAAAAGGAAAACGATTGTCGAAAATATCTATTTCGTTCTGTTATATAAAAAAAAGTGACGGAATATTTAAACCCCGCTGTTTTTACGCAGACCATTTTTGACCTTCAATTAATGGTTTTTGATAGAAATCTTTGTCATCTGAAGAATATTTTACCTTGAGTGCAAATTCAAAATGTTATATTTTTGTGTCATTTTGTACTGTACAATGAATGTATGGGAATAGTAAATGGGTGAGGCAATCAGGGGTGGGGGGAGATGCCTGCAGACCCCCACCTACTAAGTTAGATTAAAGATATCCCGTCGGTTTAGGATAGGGAAAATTCGATGTTTAAGATAAGGAATAGGATTTTCTATGCATCAAGATAGGTTATAGGTTCAGCCATTTACTAAGATAAAAAGTTTGGGATGGTAAATTGGTATGTTTCAAATGGCGAGTTTTTCGGTGCCCGCATTTTTCACGTTTTAACATAGAGACACCATGTATTAAGATAGGGTATGTATTTGCCAATGTTTTTAAATGGCTATCAGAATTGTTTGTATTAAGGTAGGACATCATGTTTAGTTTCAAATGTTTTAGTTTTGACAACCTTGGGTATAATCAATCATCCATGCATTATTTTAATCCTCAGGTTATCTTTGGGAGGGATAACAGCTCGCTCCTATTAAGAACTTTTTCAATTTTTTTCTAAATTTATTTCACGATTTTATGACGAAGCATATTAGCATTTGCTTTCTGAGTTATTGAAGCGTTTGATGTTTTTTGAGAGATCAAAATTTCAAACTTCAATAAAAAAAGGGAAATCGTCCTGGTCCTGTCAAATCTGACTTGATTTACATTGGAAAAAAATAAAAATTATCCATGAATGTATAAAATTTGTCCAATCAAATTTTTTTAAGCTAGTTCTCAATTTTGCTCCAAAATAATTTTCGTTTTTTCAATTTACCTGATACGATTGGTTAACTTTTTTTTATCGCTTTAACTAAAATCTTTCAAAAATTATTGTGATTCGTTGAAATATACAAAAGAATTCACCTCAAATTATTTTTTCTTTAATCTGGTGAAAATCTACACTGGAAAAGATAGTGTATTTTTAGTTTTTTGTGTTTGATAACTTTTAATAAGTTACTTTTTCGCTCTGCCTCAGCGTAAGTTATTAAGAAGATAAAAGCCTTTGCTGGAATTTGATTATTATTTTCGTAAGTTTATCTATCTTGTCGACGACTCATCTAATTGTGGGACTACATCATCCATATTCCATCAGCAACCTCGTTGTACTCCAACAAAAAGTTAATTGCTAAGCATCTTTTTGTAAAAAAAAAGGAATTAATAGAGTTGAATTACATTGATAAAAATCAATTCACTGCATCGTATGATCGTTTGATTGCAATATTATACATTTACAAAAAACTGCACATTTCCATAAAATAACTTCAAAACATGCACATCGTGAAAATGATTCAAGTTTTTCTGGCAGAACCTAAAAAGAAGAAATGCTGAATGAATTGCGCAAAACCACACAAGTTATCTGTTTTTTGTAATGTTCGCGGATTTATTGGCCGATACTTTTTTGTTATAAAGGATTAGGTTGATGTTTTGATGTTTTTCTACCCAACAAATCACCAAAGTAGTGAATTTGGTCCAATGCTCTCCTTTATCATTGCTCGGAGCTGAGTTAAGTTTTGCAAAGACTATTTCGGTAGTTGAGGTTTCATCAGCTGGATATGATCCAATATATTTTAGCGTAAGTTCAAATTTCGATAATTGAGGGTTTTTATCACCTGGACATGATCCAATATACTTGAGTGTAAGTTCAGGTATTCTTTCAATAATCTGTAAAATAGAGATATTATCCATCTTCGCAATTGTTAGCTGATTTACACTTAAAACAAAGAAATTGATCAATTGATAGTACAATTTAGGAAAAAAGTAAGATAGATGTCTTACATGCCTTGTGGTACTGAATCGTCAAAATCCGATACATTTATGGGATTGTTGAACACTGAATTAAAACCTAGTTTGTAGAAGTTTGTTGGTTTTCCAACACTGCAATTTTCGTTTTGTCTTGAAGTTATCCGATTTTATCAATTTTAATATTTGATAGTCTGTCTGCCAAGAAGATCACCTCCGGTACTTACTGGATCCGTATGCATCTATGAGAAGTCATTGATACTTTAGCTAAACCACTGAGAAAAAGCGGAAAAGGCCCTGAACGGGCTCCGACAAAGCCGCTGAACTGAAAATTTTCCCCCTCAAGAAAGTCCGCCCTCTGCACAGAATAAACGACTAACAACTAGTGGTATTAGTTTCGATATCTCAAGTGTTGTCAGCAAAATTTATCTCATCAAATTTTTTTCATACCCATTGGTTTTCGAATTCGGTAGAAAACGCCCCCTCAAAATCTAAGGTGAAACGCTCTGGCATTGTCAAGATATTAAGTTAGCCTATTCAGGCGTTTAAGATTGTTTTTTGACACTATTAGTCGCAATCAACCAAAGTATGATTGAAGCTGACTAAAACAGTAAGTTGTAGTTGTATCATCAATAAGGTCTCGGTAATTAATGAGCTCCCCTCCCTTGGTAAATAATTCATAGAATAACAAAAACGCCCTCTTTCTTAGCAGAAATGAAAAGGTTAAGCATAGGTAAAACCTCATAATAGTGACGAAACCCTTCTCTATTGTTTCAAAAGTGTTAAAGGAATACTATCAAACGCTTTGGTCGCCTCCATCGTGAGTAGTCTAAATAGCAAATATAATTTAGTTCAACTTAACAATTTGAGTGCCAAGTACAAACCGATACTTCGATGGTCTAAACTAAGGCAGGTTTGTCCTTTTTTAATTTGGGTAAGAAATCCAACCATTTTAGTTAGATAAATCAACTACATATGGTGACAACTACAAACCGACAAATTCGCTGCGGTTGAACTAAAACTGATTGGCTGTGTTTCGTTCGCAATTGTCAATTGCCGATAAAAATTTTCTTCTCAATATCTGTCATGATATGACTGGTAGTCAAGAATTTATTATATTGAAGTACAGAATGTCCCTTTTCACGTAGACTGTTATAGATGACACGACTCGTATGGACATTAATCATTTTTTTTGTTTCTCAGTTTCGTGATCAAACTTGATTTTACTGATTAGTTGATTGATATCGTTCTATTCGAAATCAGGAACCAATGCAGCCTACTATCGAACTTCAATTCACAAAAAAACCAAGGCAACCTCGATTTGCCAGTCACAGGTAGGACAAAACCATAATACTTTACAACCTTTAAACAACAGTTTCTTTTTTGCTCCGACCGGTGTGTTTG